CCCCAAAACCCCAAAACCCCAAAACCCCAAAGCCGTAATCGTTGCTTAAATTGATGGTTAATTTATAAATATTACTCATTTATTTTGTTATTACTTATCTGCAACAGCTTGGATGGATGATTAAGAAGTTGACTATTTGAATTAAAACGCGCGCTTCTATTTTTTAGGTGGAGTATGTTCGATCCTACTATTCATTTTCTCTATTTATCTCTTTTTCAATTTATGCTCAACCATGTAAAACTTGATTTAGTCTTCAGTTATTTTCCAGTGTTATGTTTTTTAGAAAATTCTCTACCAAATCCCCTCTTTCTATTGCATAATTAAATTTAGAAATTTTTAGAAAGGGCCCTATGGCTTTTGCATAACTGTTGTGGATGGCTATTACTATTTATTCTGTCCTTATATCTAATCGTGGGATTGATTTTGTTTTTAGTAGGGATTAGGAGAATTTTTTATGCTTGAGCTATTTCCACTCACTATTTCAGCATTTTCATATTCATAAGGATTCTTTTCAGGGGTTTTAAACTTTATATGCTAGAGAATACCAGAAAATTCATCTTCTTTAAGGAGTTTATCTCTAAAGACATCAAGCATAGAGAGGCAGAATTTGTAGAAGTATGGCCAGCCTTGAGAGAAGAAATTATCATAAAAGTCTGACATAATTTGCAAGGGAATAATATTAGAAAACAGACACACTATCCAATCTGATGCATACATTTCAACTTAAATATTGTAGTTTACCTAAAACGAAATTATGAGAAAATGAAGATATTTTATTTAGCTTTCAATGAGCATTTTAGATTTATAGCTTATACTTAACTTACAAAATGAGTATGAAGTTCTCTAATATGCTGTTCAATAAGCTTATCTATTACATAACAATGCTTGAATAGGCCTGGCAAGTTAGGTTCGAATATATCTCTCAATTCAAATTCTTCAACCAATGTTACGAACATCCAAAAGGCTACCTCTTCGTTACAATGATATAACATGGATCCTACAATGAAATTCATTCCTTACACATATCCTGAAAGTTTTATTTGGCATTATATTACCTAAGTTGGAGTCATACTTAGAAAAAGCGAGAAGTACTCTTTTGAGCTAGTTTTAGCCTTGCATATCTTAAAATTAAGAACACTTGGGAAAAGTTCTATTTATGTCCTTGAATATCTAATCCTCATAATCACTGCATTCTTCACAACTTATCAATGGGAAGTAAAGCGATCTCATCTTCTCAATGTCATTTGCCTTACCTTTGTTCAACAGTTCAAGCCAGCTTAAAGCCTTACTACAAGCGAAGTTTACATTTTCTTCTCTTGGACAGTTACATGTGAACATTGGCTGTGATTGATCTTGCTTAAAGTACAAGGATCTTCCAGTTTTTTCTTAAACTGTACTTGAATTTAGTTGTAAGAATCTCTGCGTGACTTCATTGCTCTGATCATCATCCTATGTCTCTTTATTTGGGGAAATTTCATTCATGATGGGTGAATATATATCGTTGAAGTTGGTGTAATTTCGCATGTTCATCTAAGAATCTCCGACAGTTTGAAAATCTTTTTTTCCATCGTCTATTTGTATTGACTTTACCTGACCTCCATTATTTTATAGAGATGTATTTCTTCTAAATAAATTTTTTACTTTATTAAAAAATCCTCCACTCTAGCCACTATTATCATGCTCATTAGAGTTATTACTATCCTTTTTACTCATTTCTACCTTGTCTAAGATTGAATACCTACCTTCCTCAGCTATCTCACTCTAAATAGTTTGATTTCCGCCTTCATTATGAGGATTTTTATGAGTTAAATTTCTCTGATTTAGTCTATGACTATCTTATACTAGACTTGAACCATCCTCCAAGTTGTAATGGATATATGGTAGGGGCAGTTGTTTTTCTCTCATATATGCATCTCTTGGCTTGTTAGCTAGGTTTTATTACTCCCTTATCGAATCTTGAATAGTCATTTGATTATTTTAGAGACTCATTTAAAAGTTGCTGAGATGACTGATTGCCTGATTGCTATTTGGGTTCATGTTGTTGGGATTTTAATTGACATTGACATTCATTTGATTTATTATTTTATTCTTATATTAATGAACAAAGTTTTAAGGACCTACACTAGCACCATTTATATCTAAAGAACCCACTCTTTTCTGATTACTTCTGGGGCTATATCTGTTTATGGGGATGTTTGCTAAAGGACTTCCCTTTTTATTTTGCTTGATACTGCCTCTATTGGTCTACTAGTTTTAGGTATCCTAAGCTAGCAAGCTTTTCTTAACTGATAATTCTCTAACATCCTAAGCTCTTTGCTTAGGAGGCTATTCGACCTTTTTACTTGAATTCTTTAATTCTGATTAAGATGTGCTCTTTGCTTGCAATAATTTAGGTTAAATTTAAGATCTAGAATTATAGCTATTGCTTGTTGGTGTTTATACACTATTTAGTATGGAATTCATAGTAAAGCTATTGATAACCTTAGAATTATTAAGGTTCTAGCTAATTTGCAGTTAGTCAATAAACGGTGAATAGGGCTTGATATTTGTAGGAGAATGCCTTTCAAATCCATTTTTTATAACAACTGATGAATTGTAAACTTAGTTTGCCTTTTGATTTGGTGATCTCTTAGTAGCTCCTTCAATTGACATCTCTCTGGTTAGTTTAAAATTAGGACTCTATGCATTTTAGCTTTATTTTTGTGATCTATTTATATCATCTATTTTTTAAGGACTTTAAAGCTATGATGAAGAGATGTGTGTAGGTTTTGCAGATGTAGGAATCCTTTATCCACCAGATCTAATCGATCCATTTCTATTGCTTGAAAGATTATAACTCTCCACTTAGAACTAGTCAAGTTGTCTAGATCTATCGAAATTTTTCATTAGATTTTTTGGTGTAGGCTTTCGATTATGATTATTTCCTCCACTGCTGTGTATATCATTTGAAGTATGTGGAAGCTCAAGATTTTTATTATTCTTTTACTGTGACTAGAATTTTTAATCAGGACTCACGCTGTTGCTGTTATCAAATTACTGTATCTGATTCACAAACGAAGAAGCATTCTTGCTGATAAAAGGTTTTTAAATCATAGGCTGATTGTGATTAGTGGCTGTGAGATTTTGATCATTAATTCCAAAGTTTCTTTGAGATTTTAATTCAAAGTACTCGCTCTAATCAATATCTTTCCATTGAATCTATTTTTCTACCAAACTTTTTTAATGCGAAAATACATATCCTCCACTTTCTCCGTGCCTACTGAGATGACTTAGAGCATTCATAACTGCCATTTGGTTACTACCATTGGACTAGCTACTCTAATCAAGTTTTGAGCTCATGTTATAATTAGAGTTCTGTTGTGTGTATTAAGAGGGCTAATATGATTGTTGTGGTTGTCTTTCTGGGTCGAGTGTTTATATTTACTAAATTCTCATATTGTCATTAATTGTATCAATCATTAGTCTGTAATTGTTTTACTTGAAATTGGCATTGTTTAGATTTTTAGAAGTTGTGCTTTTCTTTTTTGCTTTAACTTGTCATACACCGTAGGTTTTAGGTGTTTTTTATTTCATGAATTTTTTTTCAGAGGATTCATTTCTAAACCCCGGTGTCTATATTTGCATGTTAGCTAAGCTATTCCCGATTCCACCATTCATAGTTTATTTTGGCTTATCTTCAAGAAGTCCACATTATGAAGGGGCAAGAATTGGAGTAGTCTGTTTATCCCTTTTCAGCTAACTAAACTTTTTTATTTCATGATCCATTAACACATTATATTACTACATTAGTTTCTATGGTTTATTATTGTTTGTCTTTCTAGTCATATCGACCAAAAGTATTGAAGGAGTGGCTTCTTTGTTTCTCATCAATTCTTAGCTTGCTATCTGGCTCTGCATAAATCTTTCATACTCTCTATCATTAGGCTGGATATTATTGTTTGCTACGCTACTTGGGCCTCCACTTGATTTTTAATTTGAAACGATTGACTCTTACTTTTACAAGTGCAAATGATTTTATCCCTAACTCATAGCGAAAATTGTAGCTGAATTAGAGCAATTAGAAGAGGACTCATTACCATCGAGGGAGGATAAACTCTCATTGGAAAAAGAAGAGATTTGAGATTTGTAAATCTCTTTATTCCTCATTGGCTGAATAATTTCTCTCATCAAGAATGAATCTCGTTCTTGGGCAATTGAAGGTGAGGATTCATTTAGATTTTTAATCATAGTAGTACTCTTTTTGGGTGAAGGTTACTCTAATTTCTGACTTTAAGCCCCCTTGAACGGAGGCTGATAAACAGCAAAGGCATGCTAATTTATATGATTCTGCGATCTATCATTGTTATTGTTGTACTTCTGAGACTACATCATTATGTTATAGGGCTTTGGAGGCTTTTCAGGTGAAGACTTTTAAGAAGACTAATTTATTTGCATTTTCATTATAAGATTATAAAATTTATTTATCAATTTCCATACTTTATTATAATCAGGATTGAAGGGGTTTTGGGGTTTTGGGGTTTTGGGG